TGGGACAGAGGAGAGCAGCTTTGCTGGGCCCCTGCCAGGTACGTGCAGTCCCGAGCATTTTGTGAGCCCAGCTGGGAGCCCTTCCCACCCCCAGTGCCCACACTGGCTTGTTCCTCTGCCCACCGTGCGTGCAGATTAACACACCCATGCAAAGACAAGCACTTTGTGCTGTGGTCTGTAAGGTTGAAGGGACCTCACCCGGGGCCAGTCCACATCAGTTTCCACCTCCACAGCCCAGAGGTACAGACCTCTGTAAATACCTTATGTTGCAGAAGACAGGAGAGGCTAGGCACTTTCCAGAGTCCACAGGGCAAATTCTCTTGTCCTGAACCTCCTTTGGGGTAGCCAGTGTCTTGTCATGATTTCCCAGCTCCCCACCCCTCTGCAGAGCTCACTGTGGGAAGGCTGCAGGACCTCTCCCCACCTCCCGGCCAGAACTCAGGGAGCTGGGCTTGAGTCCTGCAGGGAAAGCCCGAGGTGCCAGCACCCTACTCCCAGCACCTTACTCCCCACACACACTGTACTGTGTCACTGAGGCTGAGCCAAACGTCTCCTAGCCTGATGCAGCCAATGGCTTCGCACAGATCCAAGCCGTTTTTCACGCAAGACAGAAAATGCTCCACTGCCAAAACCAGAGAAGGAATGTGCGGCACTGCCCAGAGCCAAGCTGGGGGTGTGAGGTGGGGAACAGCCACAGCAGCCACATAGGGAGCGGCCAGAAAGGCATGGCCTGCCAAGTGATAAGGCAGATGTGTTCGAGGGGCTATTCATGAAGCTTAGGGAGCAATAAACCTCCAGAAGCCTTTTTCTTTCTCTTACCACATTCTCCTTCAGGGGCAGACACCAGCCAGTGCCCAGAGGAAATTACCCTGCAAGTGCCCAATGCAGCTGAGAGCAAGTCACGCATTTCCTCCACATCCTCGGTCTCCACGGATCTGAATAGCCTGGACACCAGCGAGGAGGGGGCTGAGACCCCCGTGGTGCAGTCGGATGAGGAGGACCTGCAGGAGGACAGTCCCAAAGAGCAGGTGGCAAGAAGCTAGCAGCCAGCTCTGCCCTGCTCCCAGCCTCCTCCATACGGACCTGCCAGCCCAGAGGAAGGAAAGCTGCTGGCATTCAGTAAACCCCATCCTGGACTGCTGCTCTGCAGGAGGAGAGAGATGGTTTTCCCCTCCTCTCCCTCCACAGGTTCTCCTGGCAGCCAAAGGAGAAGGAAAGGGGTATTGTAGGCTCCCAGAATTAACTCTTCAGGCTTTGCTGCTAACACTCTGCTTCACTCCCCTGAAACGCTCAGCATCCCACAGCCTCACCATTCCCAGAAAGCCATCCCTTGGGATCCCAGCTCCCCCATCCTACTGACAAAGGTTCTGTCCAGACAAGTGTTTAACGGTGGCATACAGAGAAATAACACTCCAATCTAAACATGCTCGTGGGTGTGTGTATTCTTGGGAGAAAACAACACTGAAGGTGAGGGTTAGGTGGGGATTGAAGGAGGGAGAGCAGTGTAAAGCCAGGATGCTAAAGATACCATGCAAAAGCAAAAAAAGTTTCCTGGTGCACATCCCAGCTCCAGCACAGGGACGGTTCCTGGGTAGAGAAGGGCAGCTGTTAGTGGAACAGGCCACCACACGGAGCAACTGAGGTGCTGCCTACAGGAGAGAGAGCACCAACAGCTGCAGTACAGGCACAGCTGGCTGAAGCAGGGCTGCTAGTGACCTGTAACTACTCACCACCAGTACACTGGGAGATTTCTCATGCAAATCAGCTGAGTGAAGAACATCAGCACATGCAGTACCACCAGCCGATGCTCCCCCAACACAGTGTGATGGCTGCAGCTCTGGCTGGAGGCTGCTTTAGAGGAGCAAAAGAAAAGCCATCAAAATTAAGCTACTTTGCAGCCTGCCATGCTTGGTGCCTGTAGGACAGGTCAAGAGGAGCTAGGCACAGAGCAGACCAGAGGCTGCTACCGCTATCAGTGGCTGCAGGCCAGGAAAGCACTGTATCTGCTCCGGCTGCGTCAGCACAACCGCGGTCACGCCGGTGAGGAAAGGAGCCAGGGAGATAAGCGACGAGCCAGGCAGCACTGCTCATCCTGGCTGCTTCCCAGGGGCGTTCAGACCGTACTGCACTCCCTGCTGCGTCAGCCAGCTCTTGGCCAGTGAGGCCTCGGAGTGCCCCAGTTACCCGGAGCCACGCTGGAGCGGGAGGCACAGTGAGCTCCCTCGGCCTGTAACCCCCAGCGCTGCCTTGGTGCGGCTGCAGCTCGGTTCCTCCTGGGGTGACCCCAGGCTGGC